CGCCGCGCCGCAGGTGCCGTCGCCTGGCCGGTGTCAGGAGCGCTCGCAGCATCACTCCTCCGGGGCGTTTGGTCCCTCTCCCGTCCCTTCCTCCGGCCGTTTGCCAGGGTGCGTGGTGCTTCCCTGTCTGCCAACGGGTGGGAGACTTCGCTGAGGTGTCGCAGATTTTTTGCGGGACTGGGGCTCGCAGGGACTCTCCTTTCCCTCTCTGGGGCTGCTGAAGCTTCACTGATAACCCCCAGCATTCCTGAGACGGTGGCATCTGCGATCGTGCTCTCAGGCCGCCTGCGATAACTTTTATGGAGAATAGGTAACTTTGAGTGCCTCGTTCAGTAAAATGTTGGTGTTGGTTGGGAGTGCCTGTGGGCTCCCGGCATCGCTCCTGCCCCATGGGGGATGGCAGGGCTGGCGTCCCCCCTGGCACAAGGGGGGGCTTTGGGGGAGAGGAGAGCCCTCAGTCCCTGCTAAGGCTAAATCAGCCTGTTGGTCATCTCCTGAGTTTTTGTTGTTGCTTTATAGAACAAAAGTAACTTCTTTGAGCTGAGTGAATGCATTTTTTAGTCACACGAGTTAGGATTAAGCTCCCTTGTCTTTCTTATTTTGTACTGGGTGGGAAAGGCCAAGATGCCTTTGAAAGATGATCCTGGAGCGTGGAAATACTGCCTTATTTCTCCTGCGCTGGGGACTGCAGATGAGGCCGGTGACTGCTGGACCTGGGGGGCAGTTTGTGCCCTGCTTGAACGAGGGACGCGGGCTGCGGTGTAGGAGCTCCCGGCAGAGGAGGGAGGAAGATGAGGGGCTGTGGAAGAGCCAGCCCCATCCGTGGTCTTTGAGGGGACAGTTATCTTTGTGCCTTTGCGCACTGCCGGGGTGCGGGGAGAGGCTCCCTGGCCATGCGTGACTTCTGACCAGCACCAGTGTTGCTGAGGATGGAGACATGCATTACCTCTGTTGCTGATTTAAGCACGAGGATTCAGACCGCTTTTGGCACAGCGTTAGTGTGCTCTGCGTGGAAGGGAGGAGTTGCAGGGCTCTGCGAGGTGCTTGTGGTGAGACAGACCTGGGCTGATGGGCAGAGGTGGCTGAGCAAGCGGTACCCTTTCCTATGAGGAAAACCTTTCTGTGAACTGCAGTGGCATGGTTTCTTCAAGCTCTTGTGCCCAGACAAAGGAAGCTGAATGTGGTGCTTGCTGCCTCCCTCCATCCCATGTGGGGCTGATAAGAAAGCTGGTGGTCATCCACCGCATCTGTTGTGGGGTCTGGCACCTGGTGTGGTACTCCTCGCCGGCTGGGTGACTCCACCTGAGGACAGTAATGGTTCCCTTCTGAGTATGTGCAGAAGCTGTGTGGCTGGGCTTGTTAACGCACTAAGGGCGAGAAATGTTGCCCTCAAAATTTGTGTGGTATACAGTGAGAGACTGAGAAATAAGATTTATCTAGAGTAAGAAAGAAGTTACAGCTGTCCTGAGCCTCTGAGAGGGCTTTCC